TGACTGCAGTCGCCCTTCTTCCGTGTTTGTGTGAACACTCGGTCCGCCAGCGATCAGCGTGGCCATTTGGATGTACGAGGGATTTTCCGGTTGGCTGTAGTCATGTTTATGGCTTTGGGTGTCGGGGTCCTGGGCGACGGTTGTGTCCACAAGCAGAGGGACCACTTTGACGGAGTGGAGCTGGGGATTGTCTTCGCTTCTTGTCCCCGCACATCTGACTCAGTCCAGTTCAGAGGCTGGGAATTTGTTGATCAGTGCGCGGCTGCAGCTGTACCCTCTGATACGGAGATAAGCGTTGATAGCTCCACGTAGTTTGGGCGCTGCTTACATGTGGGATTTGCCTCCTCCAGGTCGTCCCTGCCTTTGGCGGGCAAGAGGCCTGTGGTGGTCGAATAAAAACTGCTGTCCGGAGAACCAGCTGGTTTCGTCGGCCTGCTTTCGGGAGCACAGGGGGATATGACCACAATCGGCTTGGTCATGAGTTTGGGGTCGTCTGGTTTAGTGCCCGGTGGAAGCCTGTTTCGTGCTTCCACTCCTGACCTGTTGTGACCAAGCTTGCGCGCGTCTAGAGGACGATCCTCAGATAGGCGCCTGATCATTGGGTTGGCCTTTTGAATGCTGCCAGCCCGCTCCAAGATTGCCTGTACGTCGGACGGGGAAGAAAGAGTAACTAGAAGTCCAAGGGTTCGCTTACTTCCCTTTTGGCGTAGCCATTCTGCGTGGAGCGATTGATCAGGCTTGCTGAGGATCGACTGTGCCAGCTTCGCTGGCGTGATTTTTCCGGAGAACGACCCCCAGATTATCAGCCTGTTTTCCCTTAGGCGTCTGTCCACTAGCGACGCTGTGGCGGTTTTTATAGCCGCGTCAGAAAGTTGTATGACTTTCTTCGCAGCCATGGGACCCGGTATGGACATCGCGAGGTATTGGTTCAGCGAGGAAAGTTCCTTGTCGACTTTCGCCCAGGTCGCTGCATTCTTAGCGCCTGAGTCCTCCAGTGCCTTCGAAAGACGCTCTAATTTCGCGTCGAGTATCCCGATTAAAGCGGAACACTGGCAGTGGTCTTTCGGCATCTGCACTGGGGATTGGGTACCGTTTCGGGGGACTCTTCTCTTCGCTGCGGTATGCATTGCACCCTTGACATAGAGGCAGCTGGCACAGACAAACGGGTCAGGAGAGTTGGCTAGTCGGCTTATTTGGTCGTCCTGTAAACCCGTGCATTTGAAATGCCACCAGGCCTTGCAGGCGTGGCATTGCATACCGCGTTTGACGTTCGACGGGCAGCCATTTCGCCTACATCTGTTGTGGTCAATCAATGGCTGCATAGGGCAATCGGTATAAATTGACGTCATGTTTCGGACTAGATGTAAAATAGGTGTGCGCAAAATATAAAGGGTTATCACTCAAATGTTTTGTTAGAGTAATAAAATTCAACAATTACTCGTGTGTACTCTGTGAATAGATTGAACGACGAAAAAACTTCACGAATTCGCACGAGGGAAAAACGAAACCGATTTCGAGCGTACCGCGCTCAAAGGGAGCATGGAGAACACAAGATTGAAGGGTGTTCTTTGTAGTCTTTAGTTAACATCTTTAGCTCACCTGTGGGTCTCCCACTTCTACATCTCAGGAGAATGCTGTTAGTTTGCATCTTCTGAAGGTTCTTATACTTGCTTTCTATATTTTCGTGCTTTGGTTCTAGACTTTCTATCGCAGCTAATTTTTCTATTTTTGTTCGACGGATGTCCGACTTACAGCGGTTATACCTGTTACAGAATACCAGTCTGTGTTCCGATACCCATGTAACCATTTTTTAAATATTAATTTGGATCTTATTTACTGAAGACGTTCAATCCTTTTGGTCAGGTTCTTGTTTGTCCGACCACAGGCTGTATACTTTCGAAGTAAAACCACGTCAAATTTTTGGATTTTCTGGTCTACGCTTTTGTGTATCTATTTCGGGCCTACGTTTGGTCTACGTTTTAGCAAGTTATGGAGGCTATTTATCCCTGATTAATCTGCGCGATGGAGGTCTCACGTTCATGTTCTAGGCTCAAGCCTCCTGACCCAGCTTTAGACTAGGTTAAAAGTATGCAGACGGTTTCGGCAAGTTGTCTTTCTTGGTGACGACCCGAACCAGTAAGAATTGTGGCTGGCCCGGGCGGTACCTGGTGTGTGTGGGTCAGGGTGTTAAGTCTCAAGCTCTGTTGGAAGATCTTAACCCACGCTGATGCAAAAAGTCTCCCGGAACTGACGGACTGACACTCCATTTGAAAGGCCCTTGGAGAATTGTGTTAACTTACCAGCAAACGACGCGTAAAGCAGTAAATAGAAGAGAGTTGTTTATTGGTTTGTACAAGAGACAGATCATTTTGCAATAGATCTTGGGAGTACAGTTAGACATCGCCACAAGTAGCTGATGCACTGAAGTTTCGCATGAATGTTGCCAAGGAGGGCAATTACGAAGGAGGACGATTACGGTGGGTGGGACCGCATTCAGGTATAAACCAACTCCAGCAGCCCTGTTGCGTTTCGTTCAAGACCAGAGTAATCTGTCAGTGAGATTTCAGCATCAAGGGTAGGCCGGGATTAGCTAATTGCAGTTATGAACGAGAAGATTGTTGAAGATTGTCGAATGGACTCAGACGGCTTGTTAAAATAAATTCCATCACATTTTGGTTGCATTCAAAACTGAGGCATGGAAGTGATGCACAATCAGATTTTTTGGCAAACTTATAAATTACGGCCTCTCATCGGTTTCAGGATTTCGGATGTGCCTTTATGGCCCATTCGTCTGCTTCCTGTCATCGTGATTCCGGGGCCTCCTTTCATTAGTGGAGTGTAATTCCGGATTGCTCCGGCCTTATTATTCTGGTGAATTAGACTTCCGGGCGGAAAATTTCTCTGGTCGGGGTTTTCTGCGCTTAAAATGTTGTATGTAAGCCTCTCGGTTCTTCATTCAAAGATTTGTGGCGAACTTACTTTCGTTTGGTTTCTTGGACTTTCCAGAAAGACTGGTTTTACGGAGTCTTCTTGGGGCCCGTCAGGCAGTTTGGCTGTTGCGTTGAATAATCAAGGGCTTTTGTTTTTATAGGACTCCCAGAAAGCTTGTTTCCGTTGAAGACTGCACCTTAAAATCAGCAAATGCTCGACCAGATGAGGGTTTTGTGGATTATTTGTCTGTCACTTTTGTTCCGCAATAAAACAGGCTCCCAACTTGTCTGCGGTTAGCGTATCTTACTGATTGCATGTTCAAGTTTTAAATAGGCCCTTGCCGGACTCGTGGATCCAGCCCTGGTAGGCAGGAGTGACAAGCGCGCACACAGCCGGAATGGTCGCTTTTGATTACGTGAAACGGTGGTCCTTAGATTTATGTTTTCAGGAGTTCGCACTATAGTCCTCAAGATGGCATCTTTGTACAGTGAACGTGTCGAGACTGGCTTCTTACTGGTCAGCTGGCCAGCACTTGTGAGAACTTTGTTGGGAACTCCAACATCATGGGCATCGTTTGCGGCTGATTCACTGGTGGATTTGGTTGCGCGCTTTGCAAAGCCGATGCAGGCCGTCTCGTCGCTTGCAACTTGGGTGTAAAGTTTATCGTTGTGCCTTTATCACACATATCATGGATGTTTTTATGGTTTCCGCCCCAGCATGACCATTCGTTTCATTAGTAGTCGATTGGTCGATTCGGTTGGGTAGCGACTGTCATCTTGATTCTCGTCCGGCCGGATCAATGTGTTATTAAAGGCACTGCATATGGGTCGGCCGGGAATTAGAGTTGGTTAGTTTGGTACAAAAGTAATTATTGTCTCGTCCTTCTCTTCAAGAGCCGATGTGACGAATTTTGTGGGTATCCAGAGAGTGCTTTTTTATACAGACTATCGCTTTGTAAAGGCTTTTCTGGGTGTTCACAGGAAGCTTTCTGGAAATTAGCTGGAGAGTAAAACCGAGAATTAGCCGGAAGGCCCGTCTGATGCTATTTTCGCATAACCATCCTGCTTGGAGCGCTCATGGGAGGTTTACGCAAGGCAGCAATGTTGATGACTTTGTTGGCCTTTGAGTTTCTGAAATACAGACCTGAAAGCCAGTTTTGAATGCCCCTGTGCGCCTAAACACTAGTGACACCAGCCCAGTCTTCATCATGGAGTCAGAAATTCGATGATCTCCAAGCAAACGACAAAACCGAGATCAAGTGTTGGGTATTTGCTTGGAGGAGAATGTTTGGCGTTGACTTCCGTCCAGGCCACCACGGTCTATGTGTACGCACCATTTAAGGTCAGGAAGTTACCGCGTTTTCTCAATAAAAGGGAATATATAAACTGGCTTTTCCTACTGGAAAGTGGTCAGTTGATTCCATTGTCGAAATTAATAATTGTTAGCATGAAGTTTACCCGAAGAGGTGGCTGTCGATGCAGCCAAACTGATCAAGAGAGTCGGAGAAAGCTTTTGCCTGGTTGTCCCTCGAATCTGCAAAGTTAAAATACGACCGAACCAGGGAGGTCTGACGGTATCATCATAATCCCCGACAGCATAACATCAGTGTTCAACAATATTGTTTCGCTGCCCTATTGCCATAACCTATCTGTCTTCGTTCTCTTTCAGTGTATTTGTCTCCACCTGCATAGAAGGGAGCCTTGTGAAATGTTACACTTGTTCATACTATAAGCACTTGTATTCCACCTGTATAACCACCTGGTTTTTAATGGTATCTAATAGCATAGACCGAGTTTAGTTTGATTGAAAATTCCAAGCATGGCATGGTATATGCTTGTACGATCACTGACAACCTCAAGTCCCTACATTCAACTAAATTGGTGCAAGTGCTGTGACATATTGTTGCAGGACGCGAAGATCTTAAGGGTTCAAGTGTACAATAAGCTAAACTATGTTTGACCTTTCCATGACGTTCTCTTGTCTGTGTTAAATATATTCTGGACATTTTCCCGGACTTTGTTTGCAGTCAGATACTCGTAAATTTGTTTTTGTGATATGTGTATGATGAACTGCTTGGTGTGAATGAGCAAGCCGTGGGGTAGACGTTTGTCACGCATGTTCTGCATTATAAGTACATACACTAAGAGGGAGTGCTGCTCTTGGTTACTGCTCCCGCCAGGCTGGCTGCAGTCGGTCGATCCTGAAAGAAAACAATAGGCAGTCATTAGATGGGTCGAATAGTTTCCGGTAATTTGAGCATTGAAGCCCTTTTGACCCAACAAAACACTCGTAAGACATAAAAACGGGTGTGACGGTGGACACTACTGATGATGCATGCAGGTAGTCTGATGTCGGAGATTCCCGATGAGAGTTGAAAATCACGACGGAAATTATGAAACCGCCTCGCAGTGTTTGTTTACTATTATTTAGTATTCAACAAACGTCCATGAAAGCTCAAAATGACGCTTGAAAAGGTTCACTTTTCAAACAACTCTGTGTGGACGAGGTGCTTACTTTCGAATCTAAAGAATTGTAACCGCTAGTACGGGGTTGCTGATAATTAACATTGCAGCGAGGGGCTTTCCTCCTGGGTCATGTAAACGGGCTATTGTCCCTTCACTTTTCTCTGGATCTTACAGACCGCATTTTGCACCTGTGTCACCATCTTCCAGGAGTTCTTGTAGAGTTCAAAGCTCGGAACTTTCACAGCTGGTGTATATCTAGGAGCGTCACAGCCAGTTGCAGCCAATAACCGGAATGAAGGGAAAAACAATTACTTTTCGGGGACCACCTCTGTGAGTGAAACCTCGTTGCCAAATGGCATGCAGGACGAAATACGTTGGTTTCAGGTTTGTAGTGGTCTGGCTACCCAATAATTTACTTTACCAGGAGTAAGTGGCGAAGAAATAAAAGGAATAACGCTAGATTGGGTATACAATAACAGGGAGGTCAGATGGGGCAGACCCACTAGCAATTGTTCTCTTTAAAATAGTTCGTCGTTGGCCTAGGTCAGTGAATAAACAACAATCCAGCTATGGTGGTCAAAGGGTCTTCTTCTGAACAGTTCTCACATTTAATAGATTCCGAAGGTGGTCTGAAATGCTCTGATACCGGAGTTAGCACATGAGACGCGCGTGAGCGAAATCAGAACACAGAGTCGAAGCACGTGACCACGTTTGTATTCTGTGAAATTGTACAATTGCGCGTTTTTTGTAGTTTTCGTATCCAAACAAAAAACGATAGTGCAATTGACGGAATACGTAGTGTTATAACGAAAGCAAAATAAAGGTACAAAACACCACACAAGTGTCGGTCTACACCTTACTTAGCCATGCATTTAGTGTTCACATCCTAATGCGTCTGAGGTGGCTAATGAAATGATAACTGCATGATTTTTTTCCTAGTCTACTATTACCTACCTACTCTTGTCTACCCACAGTGGTAAATCCGGCAAAGCGCGGGATTTTGTCGACATAGACGTCCAAATGTAATATAATGTGCACATAAACTGAGTTGCCATGCTGAATCTCCCCTGTTGACTAACAGTGAAGACGGT